CGTGCTTTACTTCGAGTATATGCGTCGTCTGATTCTGACACGAAACAAGGGAAATGAAAACGTACCTCCTTGTAATTCCTCGCTCGTGGTTTGGCGCGCGTGCGCACCAAACGGATCTCTCTTCATTATGCAGCTCGTCGCTGGTCCGCGGCATAATTTATTTCCCTCGTTTGTTAAACCGAACACAGCCGGGGCTGTGCAAAGCTGCCGCGGCAAAGAAGACGCCCAGAATCAGCAGCGACCGAGAGAAAGAGACGCTCTCGCAAGCGTCGCGACAAAGTTTATGCGCTTCTCACCTAGCGAGGTGTGCTTTAAGTGCAACGCTAAGGGCCGTGATATAGGCCGTTTCGAGGGACGTATAATCCGTGAAATATCGCGATATTGTGTCTAGAAATACACGGCCGTGTGCAGCAAGAGTGCACCGAACGCGATAATATGTGCGACGTTATCTCGAAAATATATACCTATAATTTCACAGAGTACTTTGGAGTACATTTTGATCGTGACGCCAAAGTAAAACCGAAAGATATGTATTCTCGGAGAGAAAATTCTGGCAGAATTCTTCGAGTATAAAAAATCCTTGGTTACGACAAAAGAGAGTCTGCCATTTATTTTAATCGCACTATAAACCTATATATGTCACGGTCGAAGCTCGCTGGCAAATACTATGGTTTACGCTCTATAAACAATATCATTGCTTTAGGCGGTTAGCCTACACGTTGCAAATTTATGTAAATATATTAGACTTGGTTCTCTCTATCTGAAATAATAGTCTGTGCGCTTCTCAGAAATTATATTGTACTAATTAACAATCAACATTAGCATCTTCCCTTTACATATATTTTAATTAATCTCTTTGAAAATATATCGCTTTACTTAAAAATTGATGGGAAAAAATTTGAATTTTTATTCAGAGGCATATGAGAGAGAAAAACACCGACAAACAAATTAATAGACGAAGTTTCCAGTTAATTTGGAAACGTCAATTTGCATTCGCCGAAAGTCGAGTCGCGTTACGCGAAAATCGCGTTAGTTACACACGCGTGCTCTAGTTTTTTTTCGCACTCACGCAGTCGTAATGCGGAGAAATAGGAGTTTCGTCATAACCGAATTCCTCCGTACGTAACGCAGCGTAACGGAAATGTTGCCAAGGACAGTGGTGCTATTCATAGATACCATTCGGTGTGTCGAAGTTCCAGATGCATCGGCCGAGACTTACTTGCGAGTGAGAGCGACTGTGCGTGCACTTGGCACACGTTCGCGATGCTATTTGTATGTATGCATATATATATATACACGCCTGAACTTGGACACATTTTACGTGCACTTGACACGCACACACACCGATGCAAGTTCCGCCTGAACGGAACTTCGCCTCGAAGTAAAGCACGATAACCGATCGAAGGATTGCATCGTCTCGCCAGGAAATTGCAGCGACTGCATTTTTTCACCGTAATTGTTTACTAGATGTTTGCCATGCGATTTCCCGCGATCGAAGAAGATTATAGATCGGAATTTGTGATATCTCGATCTCGAACACGAGCTATTTCTGTTGAAGGGAAATGATGATGGCGATAATAATAATAATAACAAGGCGCAAAACATCGATCGTTCGAAAATACGAGGCTATATATCAGGCCTGGTAGCCTACGGTAATAATAGTAAATGGAAGGCCGTCGCATTGTATGCCATCGTGAGCGAGGGAGGCCTTTCGACGGAGTCATCGATCTATTTTCGTCCGCGTATACACGAAACCGCGAGTTTCTAATTCCCGACCAGTCTCGCGTAAGCTTCGAAACGCGTCGGAGGAAGAGAGCTTTCGCGCGGCGAACGAAGATACATTGGTCGCACTGATGGATCGTGTGTCTCGTTCGTTTTAACTTGTATGCGGCAGACTGCGACGACCGGACTGCTCGGAGACTAATTGCGAAATTTGCGGAGACTGTTGGAGTCCTCGAAATTAGGACCTCGAAATTGCGCAAGTCTAAGTCCGCGAGACCAATATCGCGCACTAATCACTCATGGGCCGTATTGTTCATCTTAAGTGGCGAAGTAAGTATGAGCGAAGTCTCAGCGCGGACTAATTTTGCGCGAACGTGAGCTGTTAAACAGAAATTTAATATCCCGTATTATAGGTAAAATTACACGGACAAATTTTCTCTTAGAATTTACCCTGAAAATCATGGTAAATAAAAAATATTAATATGTACATGGTAAATTTTACATAGTAAAATTAATTGAATGTATTTTATATCTTATCGTGGTAGATATAATATTTTATATTGTGACAAAGATTAATTAGAAAAAAATTCCTACGCAATTTTTCCAATACCATATTGTTCCATGATTATCAGGATAAATTGTAAGAGAAAATTCTCTTTGTGTACAGTTCATAAAAATTACAAGTGATTGTGATGATAATCCCAAGAGCGACAGCTGTCAAATAGTGACAAAGACTTTTTCGAGAAATTATTTACACGGAATTTTTTTCAACAAATGTGAAATGTTGTTTTACAATAATTATACTTGGAACCTTCTGGGAATGAAAAAGAATTGAAATTAAACGTGCTGTGTCAGCTCAACGATAAACTAGAACTACTGATGAGCTATATTCGCTTTCGCAGTGCTCTATGTTGTTGACATTATTAGCAGCTTGTCGAAAGAACTGACACTTACTTGTCGTCGTGCCTTCGGAATTCCATTGGCGTCTTTCCAAAACGACGTCAGCGAAGCTTCCGGGACGTGTAAAACCCCTCGTCAAATGGCAGAATCGATTTTTATTCGCGCGCGCAAGCAGAGCGTATATATATTCTTTCGTAAAACCGAGATCGGGTGATTCTTCTTTTATTCTTCCGCGATTTTCCGTGTCCTCCTCCCTTTTTTTTACAATTTTTCACGACACATACTCGCGCGTCTTAATATTTATCGGCAATCTATAGTAATTCATCGTCGCTCTCCGACATCCAGTTATTTACGTCGAGCCTCTTTGTGATGTAAAAGAGCCGCTAAACATAGGGAAGGCGCGTGTATTTTTGCAGGAATATCGATTGCGCTACTTCAACTTTGTTGTGCGAAGCGAGGGCGATTGACTTTCCTTCGATTGTAGACGCATCAATACGTTTGATCCCGAATTCCATTATCGTGGAAGATAGATCTCTGAAACGCAATTTCTGCGTATCTTTCCGTCTCTCATTGCCCGCGCCATATCGAGGTATATTTGAGATAGGATTTTATTTCCAGCGTCAAATAGCATTTTATTCAATCGCGCACCTCTTTGATTACGAACGCATCCGATCTACAGACTTATTGTTTATTTCCATATTAATAATCAATGATACGCAATATTGCACTTTGTTTTTGATAACGCTTATCTGACGTCAAATTCTATTTAAGATTTTTATGCAAACATATACATATATATGCTTTTATGCAATGCATATATATTTCTTTGCATAAAAAAGAAATATATTTTATAGATACATATATATTAATATATTTTATTCTAATGGTTTATTAATGCATTACAAATTACGAGTTATTATAGATCTTGGTAATAAACTCCGTGTAATAAAAAATTTAACGAGAAAAGTCACAGCTACTTTTCATTTTATATAACATCTGTGCGTGCGACTTTTTAATGAAAAATTAATTGCCACAATAATTAAACGAAATCTTACACGTCGCTCTGAAATTAACGAATATTTTCCAAGTTTTCCGACAATCAATTATGGACGGAACGAGACACGCCTTTTTCATTATTTAACAAATTAATAAAAGATGTACTATATATATGCTGTAGTAAACGAATGAAAAATGTTTGGTACAACCGTTCGTTGTAACATCGAAATACCCGATCGTTTGAGCCATCGATGGAATCGGACTGAAATGGATTTCTGGCATCTCGAAAAGTCGGCACCGATTGATTTATCGATGCGTGTTGCCGGGTGCAAAGCGAATTTTTGAGGAACTTGTACTTGCCTTTAATCGTTACCGGATCGGAAATGTGTCAAGTTCTTGAAATCCGCAAAACGAACGGAATAAAGTAAAATCCCGGTCGGCGGGCGATCGATACAACCGGTCGTGCGAGAAGCTTTTTGTTCCGCTCGCACGTCGCGTTCGAGCTTGGAAATCGACGTGTTCGTTTTTTCCTGCGTGACGGATGTCACGAGGTGGGCTTCGTGGCGCATATGTCGAACTTTCGCGACGGTAGATAGATTTTCGACGGCAACCAATCAGTAGAGCGACCGTTCTCGGAGGACGAGGACGGAAACGTAATTTGAACGAAGAGTGGCCGACTCGTTAAACAGATTTTACCGTAACTCGATATGTGCAAACATTATTTAATGCAGAGATGAGGCTGAGATTTTTTACGAACTCGTAGGTCATTTGAGATCAATAATATAGAAACACAAAATATGTCTAATATAAAGGATTTTAATTTTACTTTGCCATTGCAGCTTTCAATTAATCTTTTTACTTACAAGTTATGTGTCAAGCTGAGATATTAAATATTATATATTTACGGTTTATTAAAAATTTTTTAAATAGTTAAAATTACACGAGTAAAATCGCACATCGCTCCTCGTAGCTACATCAACAGCATCGATTGAAAGAGTGACACGAAAAAAATATTCCATCTCGCCTATGATGTGACCGCGATTCAACGGCGAGAAAGCCAAAGAAAGCCGATAAATCACCACGATAAATAAAATCGATCGAAAAGCAAGCTTGCAGAAGCGAGCGAGCAAGCCGCAGCAGGATTTTTCGCGGGAAAAAAAAAGCGCGATCATCCATATTTATTTGCGCGCGAATCTGCGAGGGGTCGAACTTTTTCTCTGAGCGAGCTTATCGTCCTTTCGCGTGCGAGCTTTCGAAAAATTCACGAGAGGGCGAGAAATCGAGGTATAGGGGGTCGCCATCCAGCCGTGTTGTAGCAAAGCCGTCTTCTCTCTCTCGCTCACGGTTCTCTGACCGGTGTCGAATTTTTTTTTCTGTTGCAGAGCCGAAGAAGGATAAGACTGAACAGAGTGCGAATGGCGCGTTATCGCCGAGCGAGTCGCCGGCCGCGAATCTGGGCCCGGTCCCGGATTCCGGAGAAGGCCAGCATAAGCCGAACAGGCCGAACACCCTCGAGGCCAGGGTGGTAGCCAGGAGGCTGATCTTGTTCGACAGTGAGTAACACACCCGCGTGTGCGTCCGGGTATCGATCGATCGGTCGTCGTCTCGTCTCGTCTTATCGTCGTCGTCGTCGTCTTCGCTCAGAGAAAAGTTCGACGAAATGGATGGTATCGGTGGAGGCGATATACGTCACGCGAGCGTATCGATTTTACAACGAAGGGTGAAATAATGGGATTGGCTCGAGTATCTCGTCGGACGAGACTCTAGGAGGAAGGGAAGGAGAATAACTTCGCTTAAACAGCCTAATATAATTTTCCCCATAAGCTAATAACACGTGAAAATGTATATATATTTCTCATGAAACTTCTTAATTGAAAATTAAAGCAATTAGTATTAATCGTCGTAGATTTGAAGCACCAGGATACTATTATTACATTCTCGTGAAAACAGTCAACAGCTTTGTTTACACGTTACTTAATTTGGCGTTCACATATTTACCGAAATGAAATTCTCTCGTATTCTTGCTTTGCGTACTCGTATATAAACGATGCAAATTTACTTAGCCCATAATTACTCGAAAAACTTTCCTTGTGGCTGAGTATAAAGTACGTAAGTTCTTCACGAGTATATATATATATCAGCTGGCATAAACTTGGGTTTATATTTGTTATCGCTATGCAGCGCTTATAGAAAGTTTGGAGAAGAATTTTCTCTTCAGCCTTGAGGAGCATCATATTGTAAGCAATAATAACATCCTTTTATGCGATAACTTCTGGCCCGACTAAGAGCGATGAGTCCTCGCGAATTCGTTGCCGCATGAATGCAATTATCATTGAGTGTATCACAGAAAGTTTCGTTATTGGATTTAGTTGTCCCTTTGACGAAACTCGGTATATTATTTATCTCTCTGGCAACGTCTACAATTTAATAACATTTATTAGGGGACCGAGGGATCAATAAAATGCAGATGTGTAGAGATATATACGAGTCATATCTGTCGCTTTAGTCGTCCAAAAACATCCTTTAGTTACAGTAACGCGCGTTGAAATACAAAATTATTCAACATTGTTCCAACATTTCATTACTCGTGTTACCATATGGTACCTGGATATTAAAATGTCGAGTAGTATGAATATTTAATTTAACTAATAAATTAATAAACGCGCCACAACAAACAGTTTCAGAAGAAAAATCGATACGATAAAGATTTCGATTTGCCATTTAAGCGATGTCTTTTTATATTTGTCCGAAGGAAGGGAGAAAATAGAATTTTTCCTCGAAAAGAAATATAAACTTCCGAAGGAAAGTTTCGCGAACAAATCGGGAACATTTATTATTATCAGCATCCACCTGCTGTCTACCAAACTAATAATACACCGTTCGGGAAATATATTTATTCAAATAAGTTTTGACACGCTCACATCGCTGCCCGATACTTCGCCCACGACGTAAACTTATACGATATAGCATTTTGATATGTTGCTTGAAATTTTCTCTATAAATTTCGACCACGCTGAAATCAAATATACGTTGAAATATGCGCTCGTGATTAAGCGCGACCAGACCCGGTCTTCCCACAGGGGAATGCGTGGTAGTCAAAGTATCTCGTTGGTAACTACCTGGAACTTGGTTCTTTTGTATGTCAGAATTTAGGTACGTGACGTTATCGAATGGTCAGCTGCTTGCATCCAGCGAGTTATTTAACATTCCGGACGAAAAAATTAAATTCCGAAGAGAGAAATAATTGAAAAAAACAAAATGTGAAGGCCGAGCGTGCGCGCAAATTACAAAAGCGAGGGTTTCAACGTCAAATTAAAAATTCCGCCCGGCATAGCTCGGCGCAGCCTGATTTAATAATAAACAAAATTCGAGGAAGAGTCGCGATGAACGCGATGTTTCGCAAGCCTGCTGCCCTCGCGATTGCATTCGTCCGGCTTTGCCAAGATATTGTTGCTCCTGCACCGCGCGATGAATCATGTTTCTCTCGAAACGACTGGCGCGAGAAACTCGGAAGAGCGGAGTTTCTCGCGCGTATTCGACAGAGAAGGGAAGACCTTCTTTCGAAGACTGCTATCATCTGTCACGTCGTTCTTTCTACTTCAATAAGAACGTCTTAATTCTACGATCCAATATAATTGAAAGAATAATTGTGCTAACTTGACGCAACGCAACGGAACGAGATTAACTAATAAAACAGCAGTGATAAGTGCACAACTTTCGTCTACTGAATAATTTTGGAGATTGTATGATTCTCTCGTGTCTTAATTCGCGTCTTTCCTTCTGTTTTCAGTGGACAAGAGGGTGCTGGATCCGCCGAGCGCCGACAATCAGCAGGTTATCGAGAGGTGTTATCCATTACCACCTCAGAATACCCTGATGTTGTCGGAGCTCCCGGAACCGCCGATTCCGCTGAGTGAAATCGGCCCTATACCACCCCCGCCCATGTTCAGTTCCCCGAGTCCTACTTTGCTGGCGAGACAACGGCAGATCCCGCTTTCGGACTGCGAGGATGAGGGTAAGTGTCCATAATATAAAGCATTAATTAATAATGCTTTAGACGAGGAGAGTAATTGGAGCAATTATAATCATATGAGAGAATATCATCTCTCTTCTCTTGCTTATTAGAATCCGCTCTACTAACACGATTCTAAGAATAAATCAACGTTTTCGATATCGACGTTCTGCCCTCTTTCAATCTCATTTCGAATTTCTTACGCACAATACCGTAATATGTAAAATAATGGCCGGTAATGAGGCGCATATTATTATGGAATTATTTAACATTGTTTATCTCATTACCGGCAATTTAATTTCATCGTTAATTATCGGTCTGCGCTAATTGATGACCGCAATTCCGTGTTGCATTGATGTACTTGCTTCTGTAATGATGCATGTCCAATTATCGACGACTATCGATCGTTATGATTGCGCCACCGAAACATAAATCAATCCCCTTCTTTTCCCTCGTTGTAACTTGCCGCGGGTATGTAATAATTGTATAAATCGGAAAAAGCAATCAACTCGCGTGTTTGTATATTTCAATTAATAAATAATAAATTCATTTATTAACGCATAAATCATATTAAACTTGTCCACTTGAATTTTCTGAGCTTCGATGAAATGACCATTTCATCTTTTTTGCGACGCAAAAATCCAAGTTTGTATTTTCACGTATAAATCTCAAAGGTGCAACATACTTGTTTCTAAATTCTTCTCTAATTCTTTTGAATGCTTCTTTCGACTAATTTACTCTTAATTTTCATATTCTGATTTATATATATACCTATCAGAGTCTTTCTAATTTATTACAACGTCAAAGAAAATAGTCGAAACGCGTCTGAAGATTACCCGTTACGTTCGATAGACGAGGAAGACGTCGACGTCGAGGAGGAGGACGACAATATGTACGTCTTCAGGGTGTCGCAGCCGGATCCGGCGATCGACACGTCCCGTGTCGAGGAGATACCGGCGAAGGAGCCCAAGTTCCACGCCGTGCCGCTCAAGAGTGTCCTGAAGAAGCGAGGTTCCGGAAGCGGACCCGGCACGCCTCAAAACACGCCGACGCAGGAGAACAGGCCGCTGACGCTTCGCCAGGAGCTCCATGCCTCATTCAAGTTAGTGCTCTCCTCCGTCGCGCTAATATTCGCTTTACAGTTGCTCGAGTATATCCATCGATGCGAAAGTGTTTGAGAAAAAAATATGGTACAATCGAAATTATTTTTATTACGCGTTCATTTCTTCCCAAAGGGAAGAGTATCAGAGGATGGTAAAAAGTCACTTACAATTTGAATAATCAGTAATAATTATGCGAGATTTTCAAGATCAGCTCTTGAAAAGCGTTGCGATCTCTTTTTAGCATTTGTGAAAAATTCTATACAAAAATGAGGAAAATCCGTAATTGGGCAAAATCCATTTGACAGAACTTGATATATCTTTTTTAAAGTGGACTTCAAAAGATTATGAACTCCGATCGAAGAGCTTTCGATCTTAAAATACATTATCCCTTGCGTTTATTGTGATTTATCGAGATTGTTAAAGGAATTTGGAGAGCGAATTTCACTTTAAACCGACGTTATATAGCATTGCCAATAATCGCGACGGTAATTAAGAGGCAAAAGCGCGGAATAAATGTAGAGAGCGCGAGTATTTGCGGATTTCTCTCCAACACTTCTCGCATCGAAACTCGAAACTCGCCGTAAGAATCGGGCGCTCTTCGAGAGCCATTCGGTGCAAATTTGCACCGGGATAATCCGCTTTCTCTACATCGGCTTTTCTTTAATTAAAAATCGGGGCTTCCGTTCTCGAAAGCCTTGTTTTCTCACGAGTCTCGTGAGCTGTTTGATACCGAAAACATCGCGTCTGCAAACAAGCTTCGAGTACACTTCACTAATTATTACTCTCTAATGAAAAGAGTAAAAGTGGACGTCGAAGAGTCGCCTAATTTGTTTCGAACGTAGCCCTTTAATTTCCCGTCTCGCTGCTTGTAGTTTTTGCATCTGGCATCGCCTGCTTGAGCGAAAAGTGACGTAAGAATCTCTCGAATCTTCATACTTAGATTGAGACAAAAATGTCTTATTTAACAAGAAATATTATTTTTATATTTGATTAATATAAATTTGTGAGAGATATGATTAGATATGCTCGCCGCATTTTTTTACGACAAACTTCGAAATGCGAGACGGACTTATTGAAGGGAAACGTACGCGAGTAATCATGGAATGTACTTCGTGCACCCATTTTCGCCATTAACATGTCAGTCACTAGTAAAGCATCGTATTTTTCTTATGCTTAACCAGAAGGCCACCGTTGAGGCCTAGGATGAGAATATGGTAATTGGGCATTGGTTTTAATTAAGCATGTGTGCGAGCCGATATTGTATATATTATATATACATTATATATAATTTATATACGTATATATTATATTAAAGATAAATATATATCTTCTCCTTTTTTTCGACGTCTTCTTGACGACGCGCGGTTGATCGCGAGAGAACCAAAATGTTCTAGTCTCCGATTTTTTTTTTCTTTTTTTCTCTCGGTGACTCCCTACGCGAGCATGGCAATGTTCGAACGTTTTAAGCATGAGAAAACCTTAGGGAAATCCATGAAAAATCTCTCAGCCTTACGCTTGTCACGCCGCATATACATTCGATCACGCACGACATAGAAGCCGCGTCGAATATCGCGCGAGATGGGTCGAGAGCTGTTATTTTCCCTCTCGCGTGATCGATCGGTCTCGCGGGTCATGCGATCCATTATTAGTCGACGATAATTACGTAAAGAGAGCGACGAGGAACTCGTCATAATTATTTCGCTCTCGTGTGAGTATATAATATCAATATATCATTCTTTCAATATATATACCTTTTTTTTGTATATATACTTATATCTTGGACACTGATTTATATCTCGATATTTTTATATTTACGTCTCGTTAATTCTGATATATATTTATATAAAGCATGTAACCTTTTTTCCTCAAATATTAATAACTGTAATTATTGCTGTGATGCATTTGATTCTTGTAAATATTGTTTTTCACCAGATTGCAGAAACTTTTTATATATTAATTAAATTGTGAATTTCAATTTTATTCTCGTTTCTAATTTATTTCCTGTTGTCGTGCAATCTCTCTTTCTGCAGAAAGTCAGAAGAGAATTTACAAACAAAATATTATCCTGCCTTTTTTATGACACAAGTTTTATGCAATTATTTCGCGAGATCGTACTTTTATCTGCGGAAGCTTTATCGAAACTTGAAAAAAGTCTTAATGCTTTTAATACGTATATATGTAATATTGAATTAAATAATAAATATATTTTATAGAGATTCGCGCACGAGAATCTTAAGCATTTAGTTATTACAAGAAATAATGCAATACTGCCGATTTTTGTTCGCATTAAATTATTGCAGCTTTTGGCGCTTTCAAGCTCGCCGCCGGCTTCTTAACGTTGTTGAAAACGCTTTGAAAATATTTGGCCCGAAGCGATTCGCTTCTGACGTCACGCATTACACTATCTCGGCTATCTCGAAGGAAGTAAAAAATGTAGCGTAAAAATGTTCAGTAAAAACGAGAACATAATTGGCCCAGAAACTGTGGCATGCTTTTCGCGCTTAGATTTCTTAACGATCTCTTTCACGAAATTTTCGCACAATATCACTACTTTATAGAAACGTCTTTAGAAGCGCAACACAACGTGAATATTGAAAGTCTTGACAATTTACCGTCGCAATTATAATATTATGAGAGAGATTCTCATGATAAACTCACGAGAGAAGAGAAAATTTTAACTTTTTGCCGAGAACATTGCGCACACAGTTAAAGAGTGGCACTCGGTGCTAAATATTCGTGAAATGTTTTCAGTCTCTAAGTACTCGGAAACATCTTATTCTCAAAAGAAATTTCACACCGCAATATCTTTAGAACTTTAAGTTCAAAAATTCTCGACGCGCATTGAAAGGCAGCTCCTCCGATCGATTCGAGAAATTGCAAATTTAATTCAAACACGTTGAATGCCGACTTATTTCAATTATTTTCGTAATTATTTTAATCATCGGTTCTCGGAAAAATTTTATACACATATTTTTTCATATCGGCAAAACGCCGACGTAGTTAAAAAAATCAGGCGATACAAATCGCAAATGAGATTCGTATTTGCATTCATATTTGTATTTCAATACTGCCTAATAAATCATTTATTTGAAACTAATAATATTGAGTTGATGTGAAAAATATTTATTTAATATAAGAAAATCCTTTTCAAAACAAATAAATATATTTGTTTAAAAAAAAATAAATAAATATTTATTATATGAATAATTGTGTTCGGTGTAGGAACACATTAATTTCCATGATTATTACAATCACTGTGCGTTTGTTAAATTTTCGCAAATAAATGTTCCATCTCATCCCGAATACGTCGTACAACACTGACGGTGGATCGCGCGCGGAACAAGTAGTACAATCGCGAATAAAGTTGGCGCATTCAACGTGTTGTCGAACTGGTAGCAGCCGGACTTGGACGCGGATATCTGTCGTTTCACATGGGGTGTCCCGTTGTTTTCAACTCGACACATGTCACACACTATGCATTTTCTCTCTCTCTCTCTCTCTCTCTTCTCTATACCCTCCTTCACCCATGAGCATATCCCATCTTTCGCATCTCTCGTTCTCTTTTAGCACCGTAGAGTAGAACATTGGTTCACGTAGCGTCAACCAAGCGGACACGCTACCCCGAAACGTAAATTAACAGATCTTTTGCACGTCCCGTTCCTCGTTCTTTCAGCAGTCGACCGGTCAGATTCGGCCTCACTTTGCCCTGCACGTTGGAGAACAAGGAGAACGCGCGGCCATATGTCATCAGGGAAGACGCGGATGGCGATTCCGGCGACGGACAAGTCCTCTACAGGGAAGATTACGATGACGAGAAAAGTAAGTCTCAATTTATTCAATTTTTTAAACTTTCAAATTGCACCCCGCGACGTAAAGATGTCTATTGACACTGTCATACGTTCGCGTTTTATTATTCAATCACGCATCAATAATGTAGTCTGATGCATAGTTGTTAATTAATATAATGCATATATATGTATAAATGGAACGATTACGATGACGAGAAAAGTAAGTCTCATCTTCGATTTTATTTACTTTCTAAACTTACAAATTGCACTCAATGACGTAAAGATGTCTATTGACACTGTCACATGTTCGCGTTTTATTATACAATCACGTATTAACAATGTAGTCTAATTCATAGTTGTTAATTAATATAATGCATATAAATAGAATAGGTATTGATAAAAGCAAATAAATTATTAATGCATTAGAAATAAAAGAACCAGCTATGTTATACACATAGTATATCTTGCTTAATTAATTAATTAATTAATTGTTGTATTAATTAAATCAAATAGTCTGTGCAAACCATGTATAAAATATATCTCAAACAAAGAACGTAATGAGTGAGCTATACTCATTATGACACAGTTTCTCGCTTATCGCGAAATAATGGAATAATTTTGCAAAATTCCATTTTTTCAACGTTTTTGCCACATGCATTTGCCTCTCTCTCTCTCTCTCTCGGTCATCAATTAGGCAGATTAGTAACTTTATTTCGTCCCGTTGTCGAATTTTAACGGATTCGCTGTGTGTGCATTACGAAAACATGGAGTTGCAGTCGTGTACCAGTGGAAAATCAATCATCTCCCCGCGGAAATAAATATGCCACGACTTTTTTCAAGAAAATTCCTATTAAAATTCTGCCGCAGTCGGACGCTTAAATCACGTGCGCTTGCATACGCGCGTGTGCATCGCGATAAAAATGCAGCTACATATGCAAAAGGCCTTGCGCACGAAAAAGCTAGGGCTATGTTTATTTCGTGCTTTCGCCGTCGAAGTGTATGAGGTTTCAAATTCTCGACGCAAATTCAGTGAATGGACTTCCGAACGGAACATTCGTAAATAGTTTCGCGATATAAAGTTCGCGTTGCCTCTCACTCTTTTTTTCGCGTTGGAAAGAGAGACGCGAAGGATCGTTCTAAATCTCGAAGAATATAGTTTGGAAAAAAGCCGAGTCAGTCGCAGCTGCCAGAGGAACTTTGCGGAACGCAGAAACGAGGGAAAAAAGAAACTCGCGAAGAAACTTGACGGACTTCAAACATTTGCGAAAGTTGAGAAAATTCATAAGAAGGTGGAAATTTTGACGTGCCAGCGCCAGACAATCAGTATGGACGCTCTTTGAACAACTCGACATACGTATATTCGCGTCCGAAATTGAATCTGATGTTTATTTCAGAAGTATATCGCTTGCAATAATTTTTTTATAATAATAATTTTAATTGCTGAATATTTCAAAGTTTGTAAATGTCATATATAAATATATAACCATACAAGTTTATTATATATAAATGTATAAATTCTACATATGCATATAATGCAGAAATATTTTTTAAATATATTTATTTTTTATATAATACTTTAAAATAGAATTGTAAATAACAACACACAACTACGCACTTAGACAGCGCGCATTTTATTTATATTTCTAATAAATGATCTAATAAGAAAATCTGTTTGATGATCGCTTTATCGCGGATTAAATGTCTCGCAGGAAATCCGAGCGGATTTCCCAACATTTTAAATCAGCCTTCAGCGACCGGACTAATTATATTCGCGCCGGGTCGTACGTATGTATACGTGTGTGTAAGCGAATATTGAGAGGTTTATATTAATCCCCGAAGATAGCTGGCAAGAGAGTGTGTCGCTCAGTATGTTCCTAGTCGTTCTTTAGTCTGGATTTATCTCGTAAGGGGCTTCTCGCTAAATTATTATCGAGCGCGTAGGCGGGAACGATCATAAAGTTACTCTCTTAAATCCGCAGAAGCTTAGAAAATCCTCCATCGAAAATTCATATATCCGCTGTAAAATTAATTCTCTCCCGACACGAAGTGCGCGATCGAAGGACTCCGGCAATTTCCGGAAACGCGTAGTAGTTTGTGATTCCGCGAACCGGGTCAGTGCTGCGAAAGCCAATGCGGTAATTAATATCCCTCTGGGAATCCCCCCAATTTCGATTACGCTTGGAACACGTTTCGGGCGAAGCAAGCTTTTCGTACGCCTCCACCAATTCGGGAAGGCGAAAGAGGCGAGAGAGAGAGAGGATAGAGTGATGACACGATGCTGTCGATATGGACCGCGTCGACGGTGTCGATCGTCTGCGCCTCGATCGAGCCGGTCGAACACGCCCCGTTGTTGTACCGCAGCTTCAGCTGCTCGTCGATCCTGGAGGGTAATTAGCGATCGTGACGTACGACTCTCGGACGCGAGATTAATTAATTTAAGGCCGATGCGCGATTTCACGTCCGCGCGAGATTCATTCCGGCTCTCGCGTTTTAAAAAATTTGCATCTATGATTATATTATCGCGTCCTCTTATAAATGACTTGATCTTTGAGAGGAATTTTGTTCTTGTTATTTAAATTAGCTCTTTGACATTTTTCTCTTTCGCGCAATCAGATTAATGAATTAAAAGACAATTTCGATATCTTCTGTTTTGACAGGCCGTTTGGCAGCCAAGATTGCGCGCAAGGAATCGCTTTCGCTGAAGCTCGCTCTCAGGCCGGATAGACAAGAACTCATCAATAGAAATATCCTTCAACTGCAGTCAGACAATGAGAGGCAGGAAACGAAGGAGGCGATTGGTGCCAAGCTCATCAGGTGAGAAAATTATTTTGTCATCTATCACGTCGTAATCTGAGACACAGTATGAGATGAAGCAGTAAAAATTAAAATTAAATTGATATTTAAAAAAAATAAAGCTCTTGTAACTTAATATTCGTATTCCGGATCTGTCAAACAAATTTGGCATATTTAAAATTATTGTTTTGATAATGACAGAACTGAGCGCGTACATTAATTCCGGAAAAAATCGATTTCCCTTTTGTTTTCATCGATATTCGTCTGTCACGACTGATCAGGCTCGCCTGAAAACGAGCTTGAAATAACAGCTGTCTCTTGAAAAGATTACGCGCGGATAATGGGACGAGCGGTCTCGGCCGCGGTGAATCACATTGTTTGCACAAAGTGGATGCCCCTTTCCCTCCTGCGAATCTTCTCTCTTTTCCACTCTCGAAAGAAGATTAAAGTGGCCGATGAACTTACACTGATTTACGTTACCATTCTCATTTCAGGCGGCTGAGCATGCGGCCGACTCAAGAGGAACTCGAGGAGAGAAACATTTTGAAAAGTGAGTTTATACTTTATCAGTTTTCTCATTGATTACGAACAACGTTCGCATGAGATTTTTGAGATCAATACTATACACTATTTAGAAAAGCTATTTTGAAAAAAAATTTAATTTTCTAAAATTCAAGAATTACACGTACATATTTGCTTTAGCTTGATAAAACAGTTTACTTTTCACAAAGACTGAAATTAAATATGTGTTTACTTTGTGAAATCGAATGGGATTAAATTTCGAGTGTTCTTTTTTACAGAGCAAAGTCCTGCCGAGGAAAAAAAGCAGAAAGAGGAGAAGAAACGCTATCTCCTGCGTAAGTTGAGTTTCCGACCAACCGTCGAAGAACTCAAGGAGAAAAAGGTGATTATAAGCGGAAAAAAATAATTTCTTCGTAAAGCTTTACAAATTTTCGTTGCCCTACATATGTTCTTTAACATTTTACGATTACACAGACTGATTACACGTATATATGTATATCGATTGCAAAAGATAAATAGCTGAATTTAAATTCAATCGATATATTTTATCGTGTCTTATTTTACGGTGCTATTTTCTGATAAGGGCTTAAAGGACTACGATAAAGCGCTATAAAAACGAAACGCAATATACCTATCTTTTTCGTTCTTCCTGCAGATTATTAGGTTCAACGACTATATCGAGGTAACGCAGGCTCACGATTACGATAGAAGAGCCGACAAGCCCTGGACGCGGTTAACTCCGAAGGACAAGGCTGCCATTAGGAAGGAATTGAACGAGTTCAAGAGTTCGGAAATGGCCGTTCACGAAGACAGCCGACACCTCACCAGGTACTATATTTCACGTTTTACGAATTTATAGTAAAGCCATTTTGAAAGTACAGTTTGCACCCCATCAGCATTTGATCAAAGCAATCCTGCCGAATGTGCACAGTATTTTGAAAATTGGGTTGAAGAAATTGCGTTATATTACTGAACATTGTAGACTCGATAAAACTTGATAATTTAACGTACAAGTTTTCTGAACTTGAAGATTAAATCACAAGAAAAAAGCTTAGTTTACCAATACTTCAGTAATTATCGATCGCATGTAATTGAAAAGTTATTGACACTTCGTATCATTCGACTAATATGAATATGATATGCATAATTCGAATAATTATATACCTTTTAACATGTACTTTTCTGTTTTTTTTTCGCAGGTTCCATAGGCCATGACAATTGCAATGTGTTGAGGTGCTACAGTGTGGTGCGGGTATACGTGAAGGTGCAGTGTGGTGGCCTCGTGTTGAGGCTGGATAAAAAGAAGGGTATCGTGGCTCTTTCCGAATTTAACGGCGAAGTGCGCGATACTCCGATCGGTGACGGTGATTTCTTTGACGTTGCTGCGTCGTGTCGCCGTTCGTCGTTGTCGCCGTAACATCATTCACCGGCACTTCCTCCGTCATCGTCATTTACACACGTCAGCGGCGAGCGCCACCACGACGTCGACGAAGATTGTGATAGGGTGACCCGCCGTCTCCGTCGAAGAGGATGGGTGGCGGGCCGCTCGCCGATTTCTTTTCTTAAGGGTCGTTCACACTCGTGCTTAGCCGCGCAAACTAGCTCTTCGTTCTTTCCAAAACCTAATCTTTTTGAGTCTCTCTTCGGCGCCGACTCGAACGACAATGTCGTTGCAGTGCATGCATCGAGAGACGAATCTCTTATATATTCTCAATATGCTCGAAATATTCTTGAAAACTGCGCGGTGAATTCTGAAATAGGTATATACTGCGCGTATCTTCTTCCGCATTCATTGAAGCTTAAAAAACTAATATTTAACTTCAGATTTACTCTCGAAAGCTTGCCGCTGTGAAAAATCAAAATGCTGTACAGAGTAAGTAAAACTTTTTTATAGAAACGTTTCTCAGTGTGTGTTCGCGTCTCGCTGAATAAAATCAGAAGTCAATTTCTGATGGTATATCGTGTCTCATTCATAATTGACGTTTTATGTTATGAATTTTATAAATTATTTTTTCTCTTTGTTATGTATAAATTTAAAAAATTATGTGAGAGGGACGTGAAAATGCGAGATTACGTCTATCACGAATATGTTTTAGCGATAAAAAAGTGATACGCAATCGGAACGCGTGTCACATGCATATATCGATGCGTGAAAATGTGTAGATTAGTCGCGCATATAAGATTAAGCGCGAGAAACTTTGGCATAATTCCATGGACACTGCGAGCGCACGCGTGTGAACATACCCTTAAAATGTGTAAAACACCATTTTGCAATCAAGCTAGCTCATCAGTGTCACCTGGCATCATTGTAAATGTAAATCGTTTCAAGTTTCGAGCCATCGTAACGCGTAGATATGTGATACGTCTTGTTGATATCACTCGAAAAAAATACTCGAATCCTATTTAAAAAAAAAAAAACATTCAAGAAGAAGAGATACATCACATTACAAGCGATATCTCGTAACTAACATCGTCGTGAGTTGAGTTTAGTTGACAAAAAATGTTTTAGTATTAATATTTTTATACGTTGACGAATATATAAAAGGCAAAGGAAAAAAGTGTTTCCGCAAAATAATTTTTCGATATAACCCTCGTTTTTAACGATTAAGAGTCTATTCGGCTGACGTCCGAAAATGTGATTTACGATAATTCCATGTTCTTACGATTTTGGCGCGATAATCCGCGGGCAGAGTATTCATTGCTTATGACACATTAACACAATTGCGTGCATAGTTTATTGAGCTCTTCGTACGCGTCGCGCGAGGAATGAAAACAGCCATTCGGTGTCTACGACAATCGGTCGACTGCTCGATCGACACAATAACTGTTTTCCTTTACTGCCAGGTATCACTCTCTCGTGGAGCTGCCTTGAGGAGCAAGCGCTTACGATTATCTAAAGAAAAAAATATTAGATATACTCCGTTTGCGGGAAATCAGAGATGCATTGTGCAATGTAACTTTGTACAGAAGTACATAGCGTGTATATTAGTGATTATTATTATTATCATCATTGTTACGTCTCTCGATAATCTCGCTATAGGGACACGCTCTATTGTCCTCGTTAATTTCAATCGCGCGTGCGCGCGCGTTTTAATCGCAGCAATGTTAATAAATTTCTTAAGAGCAAAAGTACGCGTGCTAGTTGTTGTTCCGTATTCGTCGAGTACAAATGTAGTAATTAATTTTATAACGGTTTGGCAAGAAGAAAAAATCGTTAAACATATCTTCGATAAATACGATGTATGTTTGCTAAGCATTTCGAAAAAAAAAAAAAATAATTTATTGATAGTAATAAAGGAAAAATATATCAAAATCGAATGTCTCTCATAAAAGTTTATTATTAATTTATACTCGCAGAAACCGGAACATCAACACTAATTATTCCGCTCTTTGTAAAAGCAGTTTGCTGGGTGAATCGTAGTCCTATATAGTTCTGTCTATAATGCAGACGAAGAAAAATTGAATTAGGCAGAAAATTAGCGTTAATTGATGTCGGTGATATGACCGGCTCGTAGTGTCTAAAATCGTTCGGCCCGTTGTTCTCATCGGAGGGTAGAACGAAAATATTCGCGTTATACAAATCGCTAAAATGTTACGCGCAAATTCGTATTTAGATTCGCAGCTGATCGAAAGAACGAAGTCAAACGATAAAGATAAAAAAAAAGATGAGAAAAAGAGTGACGAGAGAAGACACGTGCCTCTCGATGTGCGATGTGTCTTGCACGCTTATCTCTGGAAGCTTCTTGCATCTCCTCCCTCCGCTTACCCTTCCCCAGGTTTCTGTAAAACCAACCCTCTTGCTCGCGTCACTATTGACGCGAGTAGAGAGATTCGTCATCGATCATCCCTCCTTATTTTGGAGAATGGTGAACGAAACAAGAGAACATATTGCGAGCTACGAAATTGCGCGATGCGCAAATCCATAGCTGTGGTGAGTAAAAAAGAACAAGTCGTGATCGAGATTCTACTTTCCTCTCCCGTTTAGAGATCCTAGTTTTTAACGATCGTCCAATGGGGTGAGAGGATCGGTGTGTAATGTGTCGATCTTTCTCTTAACCCGTCGGTGAACTCAGCTGTTCGATATTAATTCGTCAACTTCGAGGTCGTCGAAGGTAAAAAGGACAAGACACCTCTACCTTCGGGAAATACCACGAAGAAGCACGTCATAAGGAACGTCATAAAATAATGAGCAGGGAGATTAAAGTGTCTCTCTCGTTCCATTGGTCGAGCGCTGTGGCTACCATGTAGTCGAATAAATATATCCATTTCCGGATTGTCTGAGCCGGTGTAAATGTAAACCCGTGCGCGAGTAACATAGATATGTGTGTGTGTATGAGTGATGCGCGAGGAAAGATTATGAACAAATATTTTAGGAAGAGAGTGGTCGAAATTTGAGTGAAACGTCTCTGCCAACAGTCCTTTTTTCTCCCTGTGCTACGTTCGAGAACGTATTTTTGTGCATGCTCACGTGTGTCATATATACTATCTGCATATACATTTTAAATATAGCCGACGCCACTTGAGTCATATATATCTATATATAGTAGATTAAATTAGAAAAATGCCAGTTGTTTCAATGTCAAAATACATTATTAAAAAAATAATGATAAAGGTATTTATCACACGGCGGAGAGATTAAGCGCTCTTATTAAATTTTTGTGAGCGTGAATAGGTAACAAAATTTTTATTTTTACGTTTAATTGCAATTGAATTTTATTTATTAGGAAATTTAATTTTAAACTCTGAAAATATTTAACTTTGCGGCGTTTTAATGGCTTTTCCGTTAAATTATGAATCAGGAACAATAGTTTTCAAATTTTTTAAAGGGCGATAGCATGTTACGCCCTATACGCATAATAAAATTTTTCACCACTTAGCGAATATCAGAAATTTCGTATCGATCGTTGATCTTTGAATGCAGGTTTCGACGGTGAAAAAAAATTAAAAAATTTAGACAATATTTAACATATTATCAATAGATCATGTGCGCGAATAAATGATTGACTGTTTCCAAATAGAGGGTCTACACATTTTTGATCTAGAGAGACGTTCTCGAGCGTAAATCTGATATATATCTTCACATCTGTTCGAAGCGTCCACTCTCTGAAGCGTAAAACCCACAAGGCAAGAAAAAGTAAAAAAAGCACGCGAAACATACGTCTAATAATGTGAATGATGATGATTTTATGTACATATTAATAATATATTATAAATATATAGAAAAGAGCCCACACACTCTGCTACACGCTACGCGATATTACGCAATGTGTATGTATATATATATTATATATATATATATATATATATATATATATATATATATATATATAAATATAAACGGTGAATACTTATATAAAATACTAATTTTTAGATAACTACGCGCTCTAAAAAATGCAAAACAATACACCATATACATATATAAATATTATACATATAAATAAATGACGCGTACAAGCAGTATGTGCATTTTCCAGCACAGATAGATAGTTGGTATTTTGTGTACAAAAACTGAAAAACAATTGTTGGACATTCTCTGAACGGCCGCGCGTATCACGAGGGTTCAAAGGGGATGAAATTACGAAATTCAAATTCTCCGTTGCAAATCGCGTTGACGAGAACAATTATATATATATACGATTGATTGTGCGGAATCGCACTGACGCGCGTCACGAATCATCGATCCCCGTAGTTACTTCATGTATCGTCGTCTATCATCTGTGAATGTAATGATATTATCCGAGCTTAACGTACCTACTCTCTCTCGTTCGCATCCTTACTCGACGACGCGCGTCCGAGTCGTTTCCCTTTTGTGCATCGTGCAAATTATTCATCGTGACGTTTATTCTGTAAGCGAATTTTTTCACACAGAAATAAAGAGAAGAGATCATCAAAAATCGGCTGAATAATTCCCTTCAAACGAGTCTGACAAATTTCGACGAACACAGTTTCACTCTGCTAATTAAAAAAAATAATGTTTTATCTATATTTATCTGTATAAGAAAAAAAATATATATATAAGTCTCTCGCGTAATATTTCCGAGAAACGAGGCTGTACGAAGTTGTTTCGCGATTTGCAGAATAGCGGAAATCCTGCGCGATATCCGTAATAATTGTCAGGTTGTAAAAAAAGACAAGTAACGGAAGTGAGTTTGTCGTAATCACTGAATACATACAAACACACACACACATACACACAAACGGACAATTCTACTTGTATTATATTATCTTAACGATAGCGAAAAGCATTGTAATAATAAATAACAACAATAAGGAGTAATAGCAATTTAAGGATGAATGTAAGAAGAGAAAAAAGCGCGTGAGAGAGAAAGAAAAAGAGAAAATGCGTGTATGTGTATGTTGTATTGAGAACAGTGGGGAACGCGAACTGACAGTTCTCCAGCGGGATTTTCCGCGATGCTGAGGAACCCCGAGAGGTTCGCGATCACCAGAATAGGCTTTAGGGCGCTTTCACGCTGGATACTCCGCCGGACTCTCCGATTTGCTTAAATAAAGGGTAAAATGGTCCGGATGACAGATGAATCCGGCCCCGAGTATCCGGCGCAAGGGCAAGCAGCCTAGAGATTTTTACCAAAATGACTCCACGCCAGATGACGGGGGGTGGAAGCAGTTATAATTAGATGTAATTCGAATTTTCGCTCTGTTTCACGAGCGAAAATACCCTCTATCCCTTTCCCACCATTTTTTGATAAGCAGCGATGTGCGTGAAGGGATCGCTTCGGCGATCATTCGTACGACTTTTGACGATCATTTTGCCGTTCCGTGTGGTCCTGTAAATCTTACCTTCTGTTCCGTCGATAGTACACGATCATCGAGAATGGCGTTTCCTGGGAGAAAAAACGACGGACAAATTGTCTCCCGCCTTTGCTCAGGGGATGAAATAATCTCCCCCTATCTCTAGGAGGTCATTCGCGCGTTTCGTGTTTCGGGCGCGAAAGATCATCATTAAGGATAGATCATCGAGGCGTTAGTTAGAACAAGTATTCTCTCTTTCAGGATAATACGGAAGCGCCTGAATAATTATCTCGTGCTTATATAGCGACGTAATTATTCGCGTCTCGTATATTATTTGTCGCTGCACGATTTATGCATGCATTTTTCTTAAGATGTTAATTTTTTCGCGCCTGCATAAAGCGCGGTTTTCTCTTTCTATAATATATAATATATATATATATAATATATTCATATATATATATATATATATATATATATATTATATATATGTATACTTGTCAGTTTGTCCGTCGACGTTTCATCCCTTAAAGACGTCGTTTTTCGATTCGGTACACTCGGCCAGTGATCGATCGCTGACGCGCGTTGCACGGGACGTAATTTTGGGAAAATTGTATTATATATCGAAACCGAAAAATCCTCTATATGTAAGAATAATAATGTATATATGATTATATATATATATATATAAAAACTTGAATTAATTGCACTCTCGAGAGAGCAGCTGCCCCTTGATCCAATGAAGAAATCGAGGCGCACCGAAAATCGGACGGAAAAATGGAGAAAGAAACGAAGAAATTTATATGCGCAGATACGTATTAAAAAAAAAAAAGAGAGAAAGAAAGGAAAAAAGAGAGAAAAAGCACGTTGTTCTCGCATTCATTTCGAAAAAATGCTGCGTTCTAATCCATTTTTGTTTCGTTGTTAGTTTGTACGCACTACGATTATCGCAATTTATTGTATTATCGACGAGATAATGTAACAAACAAAAAATACTGTTAACTATTCTTAAAAAATTAAAACTTTTGTAAACTGAAATCATACCTGTGGAGTCGGCGAAGAGTTTACTTACTTGATGCTTCCTTTTCTTTCAGGTACTTACCATCTAATCCTTTCAAAACGAGCTACATTAAATTTATATATGTACGGAGAAAAATAGTAAATCATATATCAGATAGTAAATCATATATCAGAAGTATAAATCAGAGTAACTGTTTGATCAATAGATTTAATTGTCAATATTCCTATTGGAAATAGTTGGTGAATAAGGACCCAAACAACACCAAGTCCAAAATTGACGTATAAGATATCTTTAAGATGTTTTTTTTTGTATCATATAAGATTTCTTTTAAAGTTTCTTAAAGATTTCTTAATGATATCTTATATGCCAAATTTAGACTTGATGGTCTGGGGAGGGATCTCTTTTTCATTCGGGAATATACGGATGGAAAAGAGTGAAAAGCTGAAATAGAAAAATCAAGATACGTTTCTATTTAATATATTGAATTTTATCACATATTGTTATACCTGAGTAATGTATTAAAATTAATTGCATTCTTTAGGTCGTTCTTTTTTCGAAAATCTATTTGAGATTCGTTGAATAAATTATATAATTAACTTACGAATCCATCGCTCCAAATATGCAATCAATATTTATATAAAAAAAACTATTCTAATGCAAATTTTATCAAAAATAATTTGCTATGCATTATACATTTCAAGCGTGCGCCTTGAAACATAATATGCAATAAAAGTATTTTTAAAAAGACATACGTATACATATATAATTAGTAATTAGAGAGAATGGTATATACACATTATACTATATAATGAGATCATTGATGACTCGTTTGCGTAGCGTCTGGAAATGACTCAAAATTCGCAAATTCGTGATCAAAGGAATCCACCTTTTGTTTCTGTGTTTTCCATCGATTACTCGCCCTTAGAATCCGGAATGGCGATTCCTACACGTGAAACAAGAGATGGCAAATCATTTTAATTATCGGTCCCCAAACTTTTTTTTTAAATCGAGAAGAACTCGTTCTTGATTTAATCCTTTATCGAAATAAAATATACCATTTTTACATTTTTTTAGAGCAGTAATTTTTGATCATTGAATAATTTAAGCAGTGCATATTATAAGGCAGTTCAACTTTTTTTATATTTTGAAAAGCAAAAGAATTCAAATATCACATCTGCCTTAATATCATATTAAAAAAAGCAAGATTATTATTCGTATCATTATAGTTACCTTATAATCACTCACCTTTTTTAGCATGTAACTTTGAACGTCGTAGCCCATGTAAAAAGCGATCCGCTGAAGACTCAGGAGATTTCGGAGTCTGAGACGAGGGTCCGGTTGTAGGAGCCGTTTCAGAAGATCTCTCGCTGCTGGTGAAATATCCGCATTCGGTGGTAAGGTGCCCGGTACATTCACGCAATTCAGATCGTCTTGATCAGATAAAAAGTCGGACGATAAAGTGGACGGATACTGTAACAAAATTATGCAACATTGCAATTAGTTTTCCAATCGATAACTGATTTCTCTCAAAAACACGATAATTCTATCATTATTAATTATTATTTTAGCATTTTGTGATATTTTATTTATTTACGTCATTATCTTATAACATTGCATTAACTGTTTTAATTGCAAGTTAGAATTCACGACTGCTTAATCCCTCCCTATTCGAGATATATTAAAATAATTAAATTACCACGATACCAATTTTGCTCGTCGAAGAGAAAAATTGACATCAACGATAAAACGACGTTATCGCCTATGGAGCCGAGATTTAGTCATTTAATGAGGGGCCACGCACCCGCACTCGGAAGAAACCACGAGGTTTGCGGAAGGACTTCTTTTTTTTTCGCCACAGAGCCGCAAAGGAGGCGGGGGATCCATAAATATCTCCTTTTACGAGAAGCGAGAGACTAGGAGAAGCTATTACCGATGTGTGGATTCCGGCCTGTCTAGTCGCGCTGCTTCGTGTACGGCCGGCATACCACACAGGTACACGTACAGGCAGGGTCAACGGCCACTCGCGACCCTCAACCTATCCTATCCGCTCGTTCGCATGTCCCTCCACCGTGTGGTACGACCTCGCACGACCTCGCGCGGATTTCTTCGCGCGGCTTCGCGCCTCACGTGCGCCGAGACGTCGCGACTTTGACAAGACACGTCAAAACGTGCGAAACGGGACTCACGTTGGAGAACATTTTCTTTGTCGAGAAGTTGTTTTATACCTCGCACCTCGTGTGTGTCCTCTCTTCACGGTTGATTCGCGAAGTGCGCATCTCGGTTTATGTACACGCAATCCTCGATATGCTTCCTTATTTAGAATCTGGTCGCCGGGTTAATAAAATAGTGGCTTGGATTATTGAATATGTGGACTCATTTGTATATGCAAAGGATGAATTTTTCGGAATTTTTTTTATCAGCGACGTGGACATTCCAAGATGAGATACCGAAGAGAGAACGGGTCTCTCCTAATCAACGCATAGCTCCGAAAATGATTAATAAATGTCTGTTAATTATTCTTCTGCGAGAAAGATGACCGCGAGCGAATTTGATTAATTTCCATATAGATTCGTCTCCGGTTTGGTCCTCCGGCAAAATATGCGCACACTAATCGCTAATTAGCCTCGCTATTACACCGCGTGGTTTTCACATCGTTGTTTACAAACGGAGCCGAGAGAGAAAGAGAGAGAGAGAGAGAGAGAGATGGATCCACACACACACCTGAGGTGGCTCCGTCAGGTCGTTGGACCACGCGCGGCGAACGGGATATTTCAATTCGATCTCGGCGAGGGAACCTTGACCGAGAGAATAACGGTACGGAATGATCATTACGAGATCGTACACGGTAACGTGCGGCTTTTAACGCCGCCGTCTCTTCTGCATAGATCGGTCGAATCGTCCGCCTCGTCGGCGCCGACAACCTTCAACGTCCGCGAAATGGATGGATGCTGCGGACACGAGGAGGTGAAAGAGTACGACGGGAGCAACGAACCAAAACGTGAATTAAGACGAGAAATTAAGACAGTCTTAATTATTCTATTTTTTTTTCTTGATTCACTTATTCGCCAGTTCATATCCGAAGCTCCTGTAGACCTTTGTATGATGATTATTCGTTTCGAGATACATTCGTGGCTTCTCAATATGCAGACACGTGCGAATGAGCGTTAACGAGCGGTTCGTGGTACACGTCCTTCAGGATTAAGATGTATGGATTGAGTTACAACGTCTGCGCGCCGGTTTACGTTTACACCGAGACGTAATTTCGTAAAATTGTACTTCCTGCCAGGTGCTGCTGTGACGACAGACTTCTACGTACAAATTATGAAATAAATCGCGGACACGTGCAAAACAGGGTGATAATTTATTTTCTCGACGAACGTAATGGAAATAAAAGTCAGGCCATTATATTAATTTCTAGAATAAAGAATAGGCATTTGTATTTTTCCTACTTTTGACAGTCGAAATAATTTTATTTCGAATTATCGATAATAAATGCAAGAGCAAGGCTGATACTTGAAAAATTTGTCCCCAAACTCATTTCATCTCTTCTCTCGAAAACGAAGAACGATATACATATACACGTATATGCGATATGTAAATATATTTTTATATATATGTTTTATGCTAAATGTAGCCGCTCGCGAGTGGCTAATTGTTGAGCAAATTCAAGCTTCTGCCCGACTCGATCCTGCTGCAAATACCTTCATTAGCACAATATACTTTTCGCTTTTACCCTCTAAACTCTAAACGATCGTACTTTCCGTGTATATATACACTTTATCTAAAAATAGTACGTATATTAATGAAAAATTTAGAGGACATACATTCTGCTTCTTCATATACCTCGAGTATTCAAATCGCTGATTGAATACAAATTCCTTCTCTCTCTCTTTTCGACATACTTTGCGGTCTGTAAGATGTAAAAATACCTAGGAACGCTCTACAATTTTATCGCGAAAACATCGAGCAAAAAAGCATATACACGCGGTTTCTCGTGAGAACTTTTGCGGTAATTAAAGTACCAAGGGGTTGAGAAAATAAGATGCAAATTTACAGAGATCAAAAAGATTCTCTTCGTTTTACAGCAAATGTTTCTTTCTTGGCGTGGGAAAAATTTTATCGCACATGTTACCCATAAGAAAAAAAAAATATACTTATATGTATATCTTTTCGGGTCATCTTGTGCAAAGAAACATTAGTATTCTAAAGATTGAAAAGAATATCTTTCATCTCACATACTCTTTCGTACTATTTTTCTATTTATTTTTCGGATATAATTTCTTCTGCTTAGTATTTATAAGATTTATTTAACTCGTTAATCACAATCGATTAATGGTTTAATGTATCCAGTCAAAATTTTGAAATTAATTCCAAGTATTCGCGCCGCGAAATGCGGTCGAGACGGTAATTAAATTTTAATTAAAACGGGCAATAACCGATAAATTAAGTGTCTTCCTCCATCTGTTGCGAACGCAACATTAGCGTTCACGCAGCACGCATCGAAGATGTGCGTCGAGCGGATGTCACGAAACGAAGAGGAAGCCCCAAGATAGGTTTATACTTATACCATCGTATTTGTAATTATGCGTTAATCCCCGTACACACGAGCGAGAATAATTAAAGACTTGTCTGCGAGAATCAGAGAAGACAAGTCATATCTTTTCTACGTTTACGATTTATTATGAATATTAAGTACAATATTAATATTTTATATATATGTATATAAAAGTGGTGATTTTCCACGATAATCAGGTTTAAAAAAAAATGATTAACAAGATAATTAATGTCCGTATAACCTTATATGCCATGCTTATTTTGAATTCACCTTTTTCTAAATTACATTCTTCGCAAAATGAAGTCATGTTCATTTCTGAAATTAATATCATTAAAATGAATGCTATATAAGAGTCACTCAACAATCTATAATAAGATCGTAATTGGGAGATTTACGAGAGGATCGCGATGAAGCAAAGAATTTGCGAGATCGATGCTCGATAACGCGATAGAGTAAAGAGCATCGTTGTCACAGAGATAGATGGAACAAAGGGTCTTCGATGTCACATCCAGGAATCTCTGCGGAGAGAAGACGAACGACGACACAATTGCCCCGGAGTTCGTTCCCAATGAACAAAGGGGGAACATCTAATCGGATCGGGAGATTGCATCGATCAAGTCCTCGAGAGACACAATGTTGAGCGTATCCTAGAAGAGAGACGTATTACGGTGGTGCGCAGACTTGTTTCTTGTCAAGGTGCATCGACCAGAAGGCCGGTTCTATTCCCGGTACGACGATGACGGTGTTCTGTCACGGCGGCGAACCTGTGCGAAAAGGTAAAATCTGCAAATAGCAGCCGGCGATTATATTATGAATCCTCTTCACCGGTATCGACTTAGGAGAGAGAGAGAGAGAGAGAAAGACGCGAGAACATCGGCGAGGCTTTGTGTGGACTCTCCAAATATTTTACAACCTTAACTCTCGCGCTGTAATATATGCACGATGTTACATCGGAGAGAGAGAGAGAGAGAGAGAGAGAGATTACGTAAAGCCTCTTAGCTCGAAATTGAACAAAACAAGGAATAAATCTTCTAAAATGCGCGCAGAGAGAATTTCGTAGGTAACGAGAGAAAATAATAATTTTGCGATAAAAAACTGCAAGTATAAAACAAATATACAAGCATATGATCGATTTAAGATTCAGGCAACAGTTCTCAAGAGCGATGCATACATTAGAAAAGATTTGTCCAAACACTTTGCACGCGACTATAAATAAATTTTATACTCGTCCCATCAAGTCTTTAGGCTCAACTCATTTTCTTCTAACAGTACACGCAATTAGAACCTTGGTTCAATTACACGTTATACTCATCGACGCCGATGTACGGCGAAAGAAAAGAATCGCACGGTGCACGCGAAATCGGAAGAGAAACTAAAGGAAGACGACGATGTGAAGAAGAAGAAGAAGAAGAAGAAGAAGAAGAAGAAGAAGAAGAAGAAGAAGCGTACAAGAGGAACGGCAGGGAAGAAAAAGCGGAATATAGCAGCTATATATGCGGGATGGAATAAGGAAAAGAGGAGACCTCTCTCGCGTATGGGGAAAGAGGAAGAAAGACCGGTCTCTCTCGTAGTTAGCACACGGCAGACATTAACTTCCCATTAACCGTCTGCCATTAGACGGAAAGGCCGCCGAGGGAAAGAGAAGACTCTCCGGAGGAGGCCCACTGCGCGCTGGCGCCAGGAGTAATCGCCGGGGCGTATTAGGCGCCTCATGCAAAACCCGCGTGCAAGCTCCCGATGATGGCTATTTATAAAACCGCATCGCGGCAGCCGCGATAAAACCCCCTTCGTAACGATGCTCGCGATAAGGAGGAATAAACACGTCCTTCGACATAATCGGACGGTGCCATTGACTCGTTTTGACCATCTTCTCTCTTTCGGGGAATTTAAATAGGCCGCACTTTTCTCGTTTTTT